CCGAGACCTGTCGCTCCACTTGGGGGTCCGGCGCCCGCCGCTCCGCCTGGGGGCCCGAGACCTGTCGCTCCATCTGGGGGTCCGGCGCCTGCCGCTCCGCCTGAGGGCCCGAGACCTGTCGCTCCGCCTGGGGGCACGAGACCTGTCACTCCATCTGGGGGCCCGAGATCTGTCGCTCCACCTGGGTGTCCGGCGCCCGCCGCTCCGCCTGAGGGCCCGAGACCTGTCGCTCCACTTGGGGGTCCGGCGCCCGCCGCTCCACCTGAGGGCCCGAGACCTGTCGCTCCACTTGGGGGTCCGGCGCCCGCCGCTCCGCCTGGGGGCCCGAGACCTGTCGCTCCATCTGGGGGTCCGGCGCCCGCCGCTCCGCCTGAGGGCCCGAGACCTGCGCGCTCCGCCTGGGGGCCCGAGACCTGTCACTCCATCTGGGGGTCCCGGCGCCCGCCGCTCCGCCTGAGGGCCCGAGACCTGTCGCTCCGCCTGGGGGCCCGAGACCTGTCACTCCATCTGGGGGTCCGGCGCCCGCCGCTCCGCCCGCCTGAGGGCCCGAGACCTGTCGCTCCACTTGGGGGTCCGGCGCCCGCCGCTCCGCCTGGGGGCCCGAGACCTGTCGCTCCATCTGGGGGTCCGGCGCCCCGCCGCTCCCGCCTGAGGGCCCGAGACCTGTCGCTCCGCCTGGGGGCCCGAGACCTGTCGCTCCGCCTGGGGGCCCGAGACCTGTCGCTCCCGCCTGGGGGCCGAGACCTGTCGCTCCACCTGGGGGCCGGCGCCCGCCGCCTCCGCCCGCCTGAGGGCCCGAGACCTGTCGCTCCACTTGGGGGTCCGGCGCCCGCCACTGTGCCTCTGCCCCGGGGCCCGAGACCTGTCGCTCCACTTGGGGGTCCGGCGCCCGCTGTGCCCGCCTGGGGGCCCGAGACCTGTCGCTCCATCTGGGGGTCCGGCGCCCGCCCGCTCCGATGTGCCTCTGCCCCCGCCCGGGGCCCGATGTGCCTGCTGCTCCCGCCTGGTGGCCCTGCCCGGAGTCCTGCCCGATGTGCCTGGTAATCCGATGTGCCTCTGCCCGGAGTCCAGCCCGATGTGCCTCTGCCCGGAGTCCAGCCCGATGTGCCTCTGCCCGGAGTCCAGCCCGATGTGCCTCTGCCCGGAGTCCTGCCCGATGTGCCTCTGCCCAGTGTGCCTCTGCCCGGTGTGCCCCTGCCCGGTGTGTGCCGCTGCCCGGAGTCCTGCCCGGTGTGCCGCTGCCCGGAGTCCTGCCCGGTGTGCCAGTCTTTGATATCCCGCCAGTTACCAGACCCGGGCGGTGGAACATTTTGCCCAGCTAGGACTGTTTGGAGCGTCCTGAGGCCGCTCCTTGAGGGGGGGGGTACTGTCAGGAATGGACTAGCCAGCAATGGTGGGACTCACCTGCCTTTGATCTGCAGTACCAGGGCTGGCCAGCGGATGCTCCCAGCAATCAGAGACTCAACTTTGCAGCCAGCTAACACCTGGAACTGATTATGCTGGGGTATTTAAGGGATGGCCAGACTTGCAGACTCTGCCTTGGTGTTGTGTTTCTCTTGGGCCCTGTATCCTGTTCCTGCTCTCTGTTCCTGTCTGATTCTCTGCTACCTGTTCTGATCCCTGGCTTGTCTGACCATCCCTCTGCCTGACCCTCTGTACTACGCTGCCTGCTACCTGTTCTGATCCCTGGCTTGTGACCCTGACCATCCCTCTGCCTGACCCTCTGTACTACGCTGCTAGCTACCTGCTGAACCTGGCCTGTGACCCCGACCAATCTCCGCTTGCTCCCCCTGTACCTACCTGCCCAATTGATATTGACCCGGCCTGCCTGACGACGCTTGCTTGTATGTACTGTTATCTGTGGGTGGTTGGTTTGGTTTGTTTGCACTGTATTATGTTTAGTATTGCACTGCGTTTATGTTTGTATTGTTAGTGTTAATAAACTATATTGTTTATCACATATCTGAAGTCTGCGTTTCCCTGCGTCAGTCACACACCTCTGGTCACACCTGGGAGCCCTGACAGAATAAATACATCTGGATAAAACAAAAACTGTGTCTGTCTTCATTTCATGCCGCAAAGCAACAAAATGTGATTATTTTAAAGGGGGTGATTCTTTTCTATACTCACTGTATATAAGGGGAGGCCCAGCTTATTTCCATGTGGTCAACACACGCAGCTGGGTTCCGCTTTTGCATACAGAGTCCAAACCATACCCACATACTGTTCATGTGCACAAATGCCAGTCTGAGATCTCTCTCCTTATCCTTATCATGAAAAAACTGATGCCGTCAGCTTAACTTCCAATCTTCCCTCGGGGGCAGAAACAGCTTCTCTGCCTACACAAGCTGTACAAGGGGACCAAAGTCTGTTCTCTGGCTATTGTCAGCAAAACCAGGCACAGATTCCAGACTCACATATCCAAATTACCTGGCATTATGACACAGGCGGCAGCTCATGGAACCATCTGTAGAATTGGACTCCAGAACACTCCCAGTCAGGGCAGCAGGAGAACCTTGGGACAATTACGGCAGTAGGTACACAATATCTCCTTCACAACTGGCTCAGTATTAGGCTCCTCCATTTCCAGAACCTCAGAGGCACCTTCTATACCTCCTCAATCCAGTCCAGCTGCTGGCTGTCTTATCGTCAATCCTACCAGGCCAGCCTCAACCCCAGACACCTCAGGGGAAGCAGGAAAGTCCTCATGCACTTCACTCTGGTTCTTTGGCATCTGAAGAGTGAGCATACAATGGTCTGGGAGGACTAACACAACCCTTTGGCGACTCCGGCACCACCACCTCAGCCAATTGTAGTGCCAATGTAACAACTTGCTCTGCTCTGACATCCCTAGCAGATCATGAGCGGCTTCTCAACCAGGCAACAGTGCAAAGAGCAAAGCCCAACACACAGCATGCTGAACACATGGCTTTAACTCCTCAGAAGTCTTACAACGCATCCTGTAACAGCAGATCAGATTCAAGATTGTGGTCTATCGCTAATTCAAAAAAAGGCTGAAACGTAACCCCCCCATCAAACATGGAGGACCCGGCTTCCTGATTCTCCATGGTAACCAAAACAGCAGCACACGTGCTCCTTTTAAAATGGCTGCTCCAAGTGTTTACCTTCTCCATTGTCATAACTGAAAGGGCTCCGCCTTTACTGTGATTTGTGGTCTGAGACACGTCTCCGATGTTACAACAGCCAATCCTGCTGACTACACCAAGTGTAAGGGTAGGCCCAGCTTATTTCCACATGACCAACACACGCAATTGGGCTCTGCCTTTACATACAGGATCTCAAGGCATCATGCTTGTGTTACGCGCAGACCCATACACTGTTCATGTACATGGATGCTGGTCTTAGCTCTCTCGTCACTGCAAACTTTAACCCCTCCATACTCGAAGTACTCATCATAGATAGGTCTATGTTTTCTGTGGTCCAGAAAGGAGCTCCAGAAACCCAACCGACCACCTGGGGCCCTTCAGACATGGTGGCCTGGGCCATCTGACACATAATACATGAGGTTTTCTATCACCATCAGACAGGGGACTCCTTTTCCTCTGCCACCATCCACTTCAGGCATTGGCTCTGTTTAACACATCACTCCCAGTAGAACATCACACAGAGGCTTCGTGTTGCAAAAATTATTTCTTAACTTTTTAGCAACAAAGTAAACTGTCCATCTTAATGGTTACAACTTTTCCAGATAATGGCAAGGCAGATCAATTCAATTGATCACATCACTGAATCCTTACGAACAGAAGGAGAGCATTGTGATACTCATAGCTGAGCTTAAAGCAGAACTAAACCCATCAATTTAATGGTTTCAAAAAACAGTTACATTCTGGATGTGCTAAGATAGCAGCTTCCTTGGCTGAATAGGATTGGAGGATTAGTCCCATTCTTTAGCTCCCAGTAACCTTAACCACTTTTTCCTGGGTGGATGACATATGACATCACCGGGTTTAATTGGTTATACCAGGATAATGCCTGCAGCTATAAGCTTCGTCCTGTATCAACATTTTTAGCCAGTGATGCTCTGTTTTGTAGAAGTGATTCGAGTGGCTTTATAGCTAAAAATAAAAGTTTCAACGTGTGAAAAACATTAAAATTATTGGCCCAGACTTTAAGTGGTTAAAAGCGAAGTAGGGATTTCGTAATTTTTGCCCAGGTATACTTACCTAGATGGATGTTGCATCTGACCCTGCTGGCTCCAAGTGTGAGAACCCAGAAATCACATGAGTGCTGACAGTTGAGTTCTCACAGCCGCTCTGAGGGGAGAGCGGTGACTGTCAAGTCACCTCTGTCTGCTCTGCACCCCAGCCACAGGAACTCCCTTCTTTTGAGTCACCCTTGCCCCAGCCCCCTACCCACCTCTGAGCACCCCCCCTTGGTTCCACACTCTACCCACACCACCCAGTATCTCCCCTTTTATATAATACAGAACCAAGTATCATTTTGTGATGCTAAGTAATTTGTATGAAAATTATTAATCATAACTAGAAAAACAGAAAAATAGATTCCCTGCAGCCAGGAACAACAATAGACCCCTCCCCCAGCAACAATAGATTCACTACAGCAACAATAGACCTTCGGCGTCAACAGATCCCCCAGCAGCCAGCAATAATAGACCCCTTCCTCAACAATAGATCTCTCCCTGCAACAAATGACCCCCCAGAAACATAAGCCCCCCTAGCAACAACAGATCCCCAAGAGCAACAGCAGACTCCAGCAACAATAGATCCCCCAGCAGCCAGCGTCAATAGACCCTCCAGCACACCCCAGCAACCCTTGTTACCATATACTTTCAATGCGGGGCGTGCCGGAACTGTGTTCCCCCACATTCCTGCTGAAAAAAAGCCCTGAGGGTAAGTGCATTAACCACGTCACAACCGTGCTATAGCCGAATGACGGCTACAGTGCCTTTGTCTAGTTCTGGGAGAGCATCATATGACTCCTGTGCCACTGACACAGCTGATCACATGATGAGGTAAAAGGCCAATCACAGCGGCCATTTATCACGTGATCAGCTGTGTCCAATGACACAGCAGATCACCAGGGAAATAAGTGTGAGGAAAGTACTACCGATAACCGGCAAATGTCACAGAGGACATCGGCACTGATGATCAGTGCCACCCATCAGTGCTGTCAGTCAGTGTCGTCCATCAATGCTGTCACTGCCCATCATTGCTGCATATCAGTGCAGCATCATCAGTGCCTCCTCATCAACGCCTACCAGTGCCACCCCATCTGCGCAGCCTATCAGTGCCCATCAGTGCAACCTCATCAACGCACATCAGTGAAGGAGAAAAAATATCTGTTTGCTTAATTTTATAATAGAAACAAATAAAAAACTTTTTTTCAAATTTTTTGCTCTTTTTTTGTTTCTAGTGCAAAAAATAAAACAGCCATCGGTGATTAAATACCACCAAAAGAAAGTTCTATTTGTGTGAAAAAAATGATAAAAATGTCATATGGGTACAGTGTTGCATGACCGCGCAATTGTCATTCAAAGTGCAACAGCACTGAAGGCTGAAAAATGGACTGCGCACGAAAGGGGTAAAGTGCCTGGTAGGCAAGTGGTTAAAGCAGAGTTCCAATAATTTTTTTTGTTTATTAAAAGTCAGCAGCTACAAAAACTGTAGCTGCTGACTTTTAGCTACTTGCCCTCCTGAGGATTTACCCCCCTTCCTGACCAGGGCCATTTTTTGCATTGTGGTGCTGTGTCAATGTAATTGACAATAACTGACAAAATGTATTCTGCTACATGTCTTTGCGAAGAAAAAAAAATCCCAATACGTGTAAATTTATTGGTTTATGTGAAAGTTGTAGCGTTTCAAATGGCGGTATATATACTGGAATAATTTTTTTACTAGTGATCAGCGACTTATAGCTGGACTGCAGTGGGCATTCTGACACTGGGGGGGAACTGACTTGATGTCACTGACATCCCCAGTGACAACAATACAGTGATCAGTTCTAAAAAAAAAAAAAACTGACACTGTACTAATGGCACTGAGCAGGAAGGGGTTAACATGAGGGCCGATCAAAGGGTTAACTGTGTGCTGAGAGTGTTTTACTGCAGGGCGTGTGTTGGTGCTTCACTGAAAGCACACTGCTCTAGATGGCTGTGCTGTGCAGAGCAGTGTGCCCAAGCTGACAGGGAGGACTGTTAGTAAACAAAGCAGCCCTCCTCCCCGTTGGGAGATCCTTGGTAATCACCGGCCGGGACACGGTAATTGACAGCTGTGGCCGCGAATCGCGGTGCAGGTAGGGCACGTGCCCCTTACATGGAAATACAAATCACATACAGTTGTGACCAAAATTATTCAACCCCCACTGAAATTGAGTGTTTTGGCCAGTTTGACATTGCTTTTGATCATTCAGTCATCTTGCTTACATTTACATTAAAGAGGCACTTGTAGGTCAGACAAATATAACATAACAGTTATAATGAAATAACCACAAATGTCTTTTCTGTGCTCACAGCATTATCAGTTTTATTCAACCCCCAAGTGACATTCAATCTTAGTACTTAGTACAGCATCCTTTTACAGTTATAACAGCTTTTAAACGTGAAGCATAGCTTGACACAAGTGTCTTGCAGCGATCTACGGGTATCTTCGCCCATTCTTCATGGGCAAAGGCCTCCAGTTCAGTCACATTCTTAGGCTTGCGCACTGCAACTGCTTTCTTTAAGTCCCACCAGAGGTTCTCAATCGGATTTAAGTCTGGTGACTGCGATGGCCACTCCAAAATGTTCCAGCCTTTCCTCTGCAACCATGCTCTAGTGGACTTGGAGGTATGCTTGGGATCATTGTCCTGTTGAAAGGTCCAACGTCTCCCAAAGCCTCAGGTGTGTGACGGACTGCATCACGTTTCCATCCAATATCTCCTGGTACTGAAGAGAATTCATGGTACCTTGCACACGCTGAAGCTTCCCTGTACCTGCAGAAGCAAAACAGCCCCAAAGCATGATTGACCCTCCACCATGCTTCACAGTAGGCAAGGTGTTCTTTTCATCATAGGCCTTGTTCTTCCTCCTCCAAAACATAGCGTTGATCCATGGGCCCAAACAGTTCTAATTTTGTTTCATCAGTCCACAGAACACTATCCCACAACTTTTGTGGTTTGTCCACATGGCTTTTGGCATACTGCAGTCGACTCTTCTTATTCTTTGGAGACAGCAAGGGGGTACGCCTGGGAGTTCTGGCACGGAGGCCTTCATTACGCAGTGTGCGTCTTATTGTCTGGGCTGAAACTTCTGTACCCACATCTGACAAATCTTTTCTCAGTTCCTCAGCAGTCACACGGGGACTTCTCTCCACTCTACGCTTCAGGTAGCGCACAGCAGTCGAAGTCAGCATCTTCTTTCTGCCACGACCAGGTAGCGTTTCAACAGTGCCCTTTGCCTTGAATTTGCGAATGATGCTTCCTAAGGTGTCTCTTGGTATGTTTAACATCTTTGCAATCTTCTTATAGCCATTGCCCTTCCTGTGAAGAGAAATCACCTCTTCTCTTGTCTTCCTGGACCATTCTCTTGCCTTCACCATGTTTGTAACCACACCAGTAAATGTCTAGAAGGAGCTGAGTATCACAGTCATTTTAAAGCTGCCTAATTGGTGCTTATTATGCTTGATTGCTGCTCGGTGACATCCACAGGTGTTTTCAATACCTGATGGAAAGCACCTGTATGAACCTCTGTTCTTCAGAGTGGTAGTCTTTAAGGGGTTGAATAATTGTGGCAATGAAGAAACCACATAAGAACCATTTACTACTGTATTACATAAACAATTGATGTCATTTTAGTTGCATTTGGGTAGTTACAACGTCCTTGTAGGATTTGATTCTGAATACAATTCCAAATGTACACTATAGTCCCTAAACCCCTTTACAGCATTGGGGGTTGAATAATTTTGGTCACAACTGTATATATATATATATACACGTGATTTTGCGTACCCCTGCTGCCCTGTAGTAGTATTTCTTCTAAAGAGCTGCAGGGAATCAGTTAACTACCTGCCGACCACAGATAGCCGAATGACGGCTGCACTGCGGCCGGCCAGTTCTGAGTGGACGTCATATGACGTCCTCCCAGAACGCGCTCTCCTGCGCGCCCCAGGGGGCGCGCACCCGGCGATCTCCGTGATCGCTGTGTCCTACGGACACAGCTGATCACGTGATGTGGTAAAAGGCCAATCACAGCGGCCTTTTACCACGTGATCAGCGGTGTCCAATGACACGCTGATCAGAGGGAAATGCAAGTGTCGGTTCTCGGCTGCACTTTCCTCACGCTGTCAGATCGTGAGGAAAGTACTGCCGAGAACCGGCAGTTGTCAGAGCGGGGATCGGCACCGATCATCAGTGCCCTGATGATCGGTGCCCAGCAGTGCCACCCGCAAGTTCCGTCCACCTGTGCCCAGCAGTGCGCCCACTAGCTCCGCCCACCTGTGCCCAGCAGATCACCCACCTGTGCCCAGCAGTGCACCCACCTGTGCCCAGCAGTGCACCCACCTGTGCCACTCTGCAGTGTCACACACCTGTGCCACTCTGCAGTGTCACACACCTGTGCCCAGCAGTGCCACCCACCAGTGCCACCCACCAGTGCAGCCCAGCAGTGCTGCCAGTCAGTGCCCAGGGGTTGTGCCAGTCAGTGCCCAGCAGTGATGCCAGTCAGTGCCGTCTATCAGTACCCATCATCAGTGTCACCTATCAGTGCCGCCTATCAGTGCTGCATATTAGTGCCGCCTATCCGTGACACCTCATTAGTGCTGTCTATCAGTGCCGCCTATCCGTGCCACCTCATTAGTACTGCCTATCAGTGCCCTTTAGTGCTGCCTATCAGTGCCCATCAGTGCCGCCTATCAGTGCCCATCAGTGCTGCCTCATCAACGCACATCAGTGAAGGAGAAAAAATGCCTGTTTGAAAAATTTTATAATAGAAACAAAGAAACTTTTTTTTTTTTTTTCAAATTTTTTGCACTTTTTTTATTTATAGCGCAAAAAGTAAAGCGCCCAGTGGCGATTAAATACCACCAAAAGAAGCTCTATTTGTGAGAAAAAAATTATCAAAATTTCATATGGGTACAATGTTGCATGACCGCGCAATTGTCAATCAAAGTGCGGCAGCGCTGAAAGCTGAAAATTGGCCTGGTAAATAAGGGGGTATAAGTGCCTGGTAGGCAAGTGGTTAATAAACACTCACCTGTCCCAGGGTCCAGTGATGTGCTCACCCATCACCCGCGCCATCCCTTCTCTCCGGTATCTCAACTGTGGGCACCAGGCCAGTTTGAGGCGTCACAGCTGGGTGCCCTCTGCACCTCCCTGATTTGTCCAGCAGCCTTCTGGGATCTGTGAAGTGTCCCAGAAGACTGTGGGAGAAAGGGGGGCACTGAACTTCTGTAAACTTTGCCGGGCAAACTGAGCCAGAAATGGGAGCATGTAAATGTCAAAACCAGGTATAACTGCTCCCCCGCAAAAGGTGCCAAATATGGCAGTGGGGGGGAGGGGGGGCAAACAAGCAGAGCTTCCACTTTTGGGTGGAACTCCACTTTAAACATATTGTAACTCAACTGAACATATGAACTCTTCAACCTGACCGCCCCTCTAACGTGTACATTTTATTAATATACAGATTGGCTGTCGTCCAGTCACATGACCTGTCGTAAGTCCCTAGCTGCCCTTAGTAAAAATGGCCGACGTTCACAACTAAAGCATACTGCACATAGAGTGCAGCCCTGTATGTTGGTTGCTTACCCTTACAAAAAATGGCTGAAAACACAGCAAAGACGTTTATCTACACGCAACCAACCAGAGAGCACGCTTCTTGACTAGGCGTGGCAATTGCCTTGCTGGCTGTTTGAAGCGGAAGGCGCGATTCCCCGTAGGAGTGTTTGGTTCGCAGTGGATCAGGTGACGGCCGCCAGGCCAGGAGAGAGATGGCGGGGCAGCTGACATGTGAAGGAATCACTCTGAAAGGCAGCGCGGAGATCGTGTCCGAGTTCTTCTGTAAGGGAAATGCACGAGCTGCCCTGTATTTTATATATATGTGTGGGGGAGGGGTCTGTAGTCTGCCTTGTACCTAACACAATAGGCTGGCTGCCAGGACATGGCTAATCGGAACCTCTCTAGGGCGAGTGATCTACAGGGTGCAAGGGGGGAAGGGAAAGAACCTAGACTGACTGGCCAATCAGGGGGTCTCTGATCTGAGGTGGGTGTGTTTTGTCTTGAAGTATAAGCCTAAGCCTTAAGGCATTCCAGGGGTGGGTTCTTTACACATAGTTACAGGAAGCTTGGCCCAATGGAACTATGTATATTTATTTATTACAGGTACGTATATAGTGATGTTAATTTACACAGTGCTTTACATATATATTGTACATTCACATCAGTCCCTAACCCTCAAGGAGTGTACAATCTAAGGTCCCTAACTTACATTCATACATACACATACTAGGGACAATTTAGACAGGATCCAATTACCCTATCAGCATGTCTTTGGAGTGTGGGAGGAAACCGGAGTACCTGAAGGAAACCCACGCAGGCACAGGGAGAACATGCAAACTCCATGCAGGTGGTGCTGTGGTTGGGATTTGAATCGGTGACCCGAGTATTGGCAGGCAGAAGTGCTAACCACTTAGCCACTGTGCTGCCCAATTAACAACAAGACTTTGTGGGCACTTTTTACTAACGTAACTTTTTTTTTTTTTTTTTTTTGCTAGAAAACTACTTTGATCCCCCAAATATATATATATATGAGTGTGTGTATGTATGTGTGTGTGTGTGTGTATATATATATATATATATATATATATTTATATTATATATATATATATATTATATATATATATATATGTTTGTTTTTTTATTTATGAGAGAATAAATTGGTGGGTATTGCTTTTTATTTTTACTTTTTTTTTTTTTTTTTTTTGTCCCACAGTATTTTCAGCAGCTTTTGAAACACCTTTTTTTTTTGGGGAAACATACACTTTTTTTTAATTTCTGCACAATACATAACCCAATTTTTCGTAAAATATAAAAGATGTTGCGCTGAGTAACAAACAATTCACTGTGTAATGGTGCAGAGAGCTGTGCTGACACCATTGCATAATGAACAGCCCAAACATTTCAATATAAAAAAAAATACTGCTGGGGGAACATTCAGGGGTAAAAGGGGCAGAGCATGAACTTGGGCTTTATTTATATATATATTTTCTTTTACTATTATGGTTGTTTATAAAAGATATCTTGTTTTGTCACCTCAGTTTTTGGCATCAACAGTATTTTGTATCAGCGTGGGATTTATCCTCCAGAGACCTTCACGCGTGCACAGAAATATGGGCTCACCCTGCTAATCACTACAGATCCAGATCTAAAGAAATACTTGAATACTGTGGTGGAGCAACTCAAAGGTACGAATGTGAAATCAATTCAGTTCTCTTAATGGGTTTCCAGAGAGAATAGAAAAATGTATCCTCTGCTCTCTGAGTAGTATTCATTGGAATTGTTACATACAAGGAGCAGAGTGGTTACTGGATAGAAGGCTGCTGTTTGGTCACACTATGATGTCACCTGAGTGGCACTATGATTTTCTGCATGTGCTGTACACAACTAACACTTAAAGCTGAACTCCGGCTATACATTCAGTTCTGAAAGTTGTACAGGCTCCTCTCATTTACTGAAATGGATTACTGTGATTTCACTACTCCCTGCAAGCATTTCAGTGTTCATTAGAAGATGTAGCAAGTCAGAGCCTGCCTCATATCCTGGCTGGAGGACATCCAGAATTATCTAGCGCTTTTCCCCCCAGCTGAGCTGTCCCTGGCCCTTTTATTCATTTCAGTTCTTTAAATCATGAAGGCTCAGCATTACAAAGTGAGGGCTGCATGCAAATGCAATCTGCCCACTTTTTTTAGAATGACACCCAACCATCTAGTAATTTTGATGTTTATAAACCACCGAGTAATTATGTGCTTAATTTAATGCTAGGGGGTAGTGCTGCATACTGTAAAATCAATTAATTACTACGTTCTAATACTACTGTGCCAATAAAACATGCATAAAAAAGTGTAACTAATTGATAATATATACTATGAGAATATCAACTTATAAACTGCATCACCAAAATAAATCAAATTATATTCACACAATGTATCATCAAAAATAAAAAACATATATAAATAAAAAATATTTCAATGAATCCAATTGTGATAATTAAAAATAAATAAATTCATAAAGTCCCGTGTGCAAATTGTGCAAAAAATATATAAAGTTCAGCAGAGGAGAAAAAAAAAAAAGTGATAGTAATATACTCTCCTTTCAAGCTGCTTATGGTTGTGTAGCTGGGATCATGCGGCTTCTCTTCTGAGCCTGTATAGGTATAAGGATTTCTCCCTCCTAGAGCCTCTCCTCACTCCAATGCTCAATGTATCCTCATATGCCCCATAGGAAAAAAGGAATGAGAATATGGTGCCTTATCCAAGGTATGTAAAAACAATCTTTAATATGCTCCCATAATGCACTCACATTATTCAAATAGTAAACACGCCTGTAATGCAATTAAACCGTAGCTTGCGGTGAGGATCAGCCTCGTGGGAGTGTTATCACACTCTGTCAGTACTCGCCGTATTGATGGTCAGATGCGTGGTTGTGACGTCACTGCCCCTCCCCCTCCCCTTCTAATTTAGTTCAGCTGCTTTCACCTAAATTATGAGCTGTCCCCATGGTCCAGGGAAAGGAATTTGCATGTAAAAACTACTTATTCATCTGTTTGTGTTCCCCGTCTTCATTATGTTTTTTTCATTGCAATGCCTTCTTGCTGTCCAGCTTGTGGCTTTACCAGCTATCTTTGAGATCTTGAACCTTCCATGCCTAATTTGTGTTGCACCCTCATGAAACTGTTCTTGTGGCTAGTCTTCATTCCTTACAGATTTAAGGAAAGTGAATGAATGCCACAGACTTGAAAGAAAAGTCAGTACTTGCATATTGGAATCAGAGACTATATCTTGAGCTGCGTGGATTTGAAGGTATGATATAGCCTTGCATTTAATTCTGACATCATTGCAGCAGGATTCCCCCTGCACTGCAAGTGTTAAATGCTTTTTGTCTAGGGTACTTTAAAAAACAGTTACGTGCATTGCCGATTGCTCCTGCAGATTTCCTCCTCTGTGCGACTGGTCCTCCAAAGCCAGTTCTCTTTGGAGCTTCGTCCCTTGGTCTCACTTTGGCATCATCACATACATTGCAGGAACAGCAGTCCTGCATTACAAGTGAGGATGCCGAGCGCCCGCCCACAACCTGAAGTGAGGAGGAGTGCCAGGTCCTAGAGTGATGCAGCAGGTAAAACTGCTTTTTATTGATATACTAGATAGAAAGAAGCATTTACTCCTTGCTATGCAGGGGGTTTAGACATTGGCTAGGGAAGCTTGAGGTTTCCCTGGAGTTCTGCTTTAATTGCAAAATTAGGATTTGGTTTTGCACTAGAGCTGCAGGAGGTTTTGAAGGTTGGGAGGGCACATTCTGAATGTGCTTTCTAGATTCAGCACACAAATTTACCTTTTCCTGTAAAGTTGAACTTCACCCAAAAGGGGAAGTTTCAATTGTTGTGTCCTGGTCACATAGCCGATCCGAGCAGAAGTTGCCTCCCTCCAGAAGGCTATTGGACCATTCATAAAGTGCCTTAGGGCTCATGCCTGCGCAGTGGGAAGCTGGCTGTGAAGCCACAAGGGGTTACAGCCAGCTTCCCTTAATAAACATGCCAGAGACCCAAAGAAGTGGCCCGGGTGAGGATGGCACTGAATCCATGGACGTGTCCTTTTATTAAAAGCCAGCAGCTACTTAATTTTTCTAGTGGTCAAATTAAGAGGGGTTTTGCTTTAAATGGATTACTCCATTGCAATGGACCCTGGTGGCTTTGGCTAAACGTTATTCACCTTTTGAGTGACTGCTTTCTATTATGCTTTCTATTATGCTTGTTTCAGATTGGCTGTACAACTGTCAGGTCCAGAAACTGGTGGTAGTGATTACAAGTATTGACAGCAATGAAATTCTGGAACGCTGGCAGTTTGATATAGAATGTGACAAAACTGTAAAAGATGACAGGTAACTACAGTAACTTTATCTTTATGGCACTTGGCATATGTCTATAACCATGTTTTTTTTTTTTTTTTTGCTTGTTTTTCTCCAATTGTATTGTTAAAGACTAGTTTGCCTCATAATAAGGTCAGAAGCTTGGCACCATGTTACACTCTAAGTGCCAGTTCACATATATGCGGACTGGATGTGGTTTGAGCTACATCTGAATTTACTTGACATGTGAAATAACTTTGCTTCCTATGCTGCCTGTTCACATACACTACACTATATTGCCAAAAGTATTGGGACACCCCTCCAAATCCTTAGATAGTTGTTCCAATCACCTCCATGCTACATATGTATCAAGTACCTAGGCATGCAGGTTGCTTCTACAAACATTTGTGAACGAATGGGTTTCTCTCAGAAGTTTAGTGAATTTAAGTGTGATACCTTGATAGGTTGCCACCTGTGCACAATAAGTCCATCTGTGAAATTTCCTTGCTACTAAATATTCCACGGTCAACTGTTAGTGGTGTTGTATCGAAGTGGAAGCAACTGGGAACAACAGCAACAAAGTGGTGGACCAAGTAAAATGACAGAAACGCACAGTGCACATAAGTCGCCAACTGTCTGCCGAGTCAATAGCTAAAGACCTCCAAACTTCGTGTGGCCTTTAGATTAGCACAACCATGCGTAGAGAGCTTCATAGAATGGGTTTCCATGGACGAGCAGCCTTACATTACCAAATGCAATGCAAAGCATCGGATGCAGTGGTGTAAAGCACGCCACCTCTGGACTCTAGAGCAGTGGAGACGTGTTCTCTGGAGTGACAAATCACGCCTTTCTGTTTGGCAATCCAATGGCCGTGTCTGGCAGTTGCCCGGAGAACAATACTTGCCTGGCTGTATTGTGCCAAGTGTAAAGTTTGGAGTGGGGATTACGGTGCGGGGTTGTTTTTCAGGGGTTGGGCTTGGCCCCTCAGTTCCAGTGAAGGGATCACTTTAAGGTTTAGTTTGGACAATTTCATGCTCCCAACCTTGTGGGTACAGTTTGGGGATGGCCCCTTCCTGTTCCAACATACTGCGCACCCATGCATAAAGCAAGGTCCATAAAGACATGGATGAGTGAGTTTGGGGTGGAGGAACTTGACTGGCCTGCACAGAGTCCTCACCTTAACCCAATGGAACACCTTTGGGATAAATTGGAGCAGAGGCTGCCAGCCAGGCCTTCTCATCTGACATCAGTGCCTGACCTCACAAATGTACTTCTGGAAGAATGGTCAAACATTCCCATAGACACACTCCTAAACCTTGTGGACAGCCTTCCCAGAAGAGTTGGAGCTGTTATTGTTGCAAAGGGTGGGCCAACTCAATATTGAACCCTAAAGACTAAAACTGAGATGCTAACAAAGTTCATGTGCGTGTAAAGGCAGGAGTCTCAATACTTCTGGCAATGTGTGTGTTCGGTGCACTGGCAGTGTGGATTGAAAAGAGTCCGATGTCTGAAGTCCGGTTCAGGTGTGGATTACAGGCCATTGACTTCTATGGGAACCATTTCTAAGTCGCACATGCTATCAGTTGTGAACAGGATAAAATCCTGATCTGATGTAAACCTGCCCTGAACCTGAAGTAACCCTGCCCTGAACCGCTGAACAACTACTGTGTCAATTAGCTGTGAAACCTGAGCTTCAATCTGCAATGCATGTGTATATCCACACTAAGCCCCCGGTCACATTGGGTGCAATTTGCATGCCCTGCAACTTGCAAAACGTATGCCAAGTCGCACCCTATTGTCCACTATTAGAGCGGTCATATCGGTGTGGTTCCGACTTGGTTGGAGCCACACCTATTTCTAAATTAGTGCATGCGCTACTCTTGTTGCGATTTGCATAGACATCTGTGCTAATGTCTTGCAAATCGCAATGAAATCGGCAGGTCACCCGATTTTGAAATTGTGCGACTTCACTGTAAGTCGCATGATTTCAAAATCGACTTTACTGTGACCGGGGGGTAAATATGTGTACCGTGCTTCAAAAAATGGACATAGGTTTTAACCATTTCAATACCGTGCAATTTTACACCTTCCTGCCCAGGCCATTTTTCAGGTTTCAGCGCTCTCACACTTTGAATGACAATTGCGCGGTCATACAACACTGTACCCAAACTAAAATTTTATCATTTTCTTCACACAACTAGAGCTTTCTTTTGGTGGTATTTAATCACCGCTGGTGTTTTTTATTTTTTGCTAAATTAACAAAAAAAATACCAAAATTTTTGAAAAAAAAAAACGTTTTTTTTGTTTCTGTTATAAAAGTTTACAAATAAATAATTGTTCTTCATAAATTTAGGCCGAGATGTATTCTGCTACATGTCTTTGGTGAAAATAACCCAAATTAGGATGTATTTTTTAGTTTGTAGGAAAGTTATAGAGTTCACAAACTATGGTATAGATCTGAATATTGATCAATCCTGAAGTACTGACAGCCAATCTAATTTCTTGAGGTCCAAGAATGTCAGAATAGTACAGATATCCCCCAAATGACCCCTTTTTGCAGAGTAGACAGTCCGACGTACTTCATAAGAGGCATGGCGAGTTTTTTGAAGTTGTATTTTTTTTGTCATTTTTCAGGAAAATGAAAAAATTAAAAAATTATTTTCACTATTTTTTTTTTTTTTTACATACTGTCACCAGTGCAGTACAGCGTCATCATATAACTGGCATGGCGGTGAACAGGGATACTGACTGGTGACAGTATGAAAAAAAATATATATATTTTTTTTTTTTATTATATTTTTTTTTTTTTTTTTTATTGTTTAATTTTTTATTACATTTTTTTTTATTTTTTTTTTAAGATTTTACTATGACCAAAGTAGTACAATGTTACCATAGTAACATTGTACTACTTTGGGGAAGTGATCAGTATTTTTTTTTACACAATTTGCTTATAGCAAAGAATTACTTTGCTATAAGCAAGCATTTACCTGAATGAAATCGATTCATTCAGCTTTTTTTTTTTTTTTTTTTTTTTTTTTTTTTTTTTTTTGTGATTAGCTGTCACCATTCACAGCTAAGCACTAGTGTACAATGGATGGCATCATGAATGAAGCCATCCATTGTATACAACTGTCATGTGACCTGCTGTGATTGGTCACAGCAGGTCACATGGTACCAGCAACGGGAGCCGGTACTCGGATCTGTCATCGGCCGGTCCGAGGTGCACACAGATCGCACTGCTGCGCCGCTCTGCATTAGTGCAAACTGCGCATGTGCGGGAGCACACCAAATGGCGTGCACCCGGAATGCAGAGACTGTTTTGAAGCCGCCAAACGGCCATTGGCCGGGCGGCTAATGGTTAAACACCCTCAAATAGTTGACCCATCACGCTCATTCAGTTATCAATTTCCAGCAATGCAGTGGACAGAAAAATCTACAGGGTTTGGCCACTGAATGACAGACCTAGGGTTTAGTGGTGGGAGGAGGCAGCTTTAATGTCAACTTGGCCAAAACACAATAGTCTGTGTACAGCCCAGGATCCAAGGGATAGCACAGGCATATTGTGTACCATCTAGGATCTAAAGGGTAACTGCATCAAATAGAAAGTTAACCACAAAGAATAGATTAGGTTCACTTTAAGTTCCATGTCCTCTTCTAGTTCCAGGCACATACTGTTAATGGGTAACCTGATTTTTGTAGTTATGCCATACTCCATTCTTAAATTTTAAAGTGACAGAAAAACTGGAGTTATGCAGGCCATAGATGGGTCGAAAATCGGCCGATTTTTTCGGCCGAAAATAAAATCGGCCGATTTTCGGATCGTTAGTGGGCGATTTGGTCGGCCGTTTTTCGGTATTTTGGCCGTTTTTTTTTTTCCGGTAAAGTTGGAAAAAAATTGGGCCGATTTTGCCGATCGGCCGATTTTCGCGGCAATTAGTGGGCAAATCGGCCGATTTTTTTACCGATAAAAAATCTGCGCATGAGCAGTGACCTGCAAGAGGAAGACAAAAAGAAGATGAAGAAGAGAAAGATGAAGAAGAGGATGAAGATGAAGAAGAGGATGAAGATGAAGAAGAGGATGAAGATGAAGAAGAGGATGAAGATGAAGAAGAGGATGAAGATGAAGAAGAGGATGATGATGAAGAGGATGATGCTGATGAAGAAGATGAAGAAGAGGATGATGCTGCTGATGAAGATGAAGAAGAGGATGATGCTGATGAAGAAGAGGATGATGCTGATGAAGAAGAGGATGATGCTGATGAAGAAGAGGATGAGGAGAAGAGAGATGATGATGAAGAAGAGAGAGGAGGATGAAGAAAGAAGAGGATGAAGAAGAAGAAGAATTCGAGTCCAGCAAAAAGTATCTCTGCAGAGAGCTCTGCTATTTCTGACAGTTCTCTGACAGTTCTTTGACATTTACAGCGGTTGAAACATTGTATCTATTTGTTTCCGAATAAAAACATCTGTATCCTAAATGGAAACAAATAGATACAATGTTTCAACCGCTGTAAATGTGAAGGAACTGTCAGAAATAGCGGAGCTCTCTGCAGGGACACTTTTTGCCAGCTGTAGAAGGGATGAAAATCGGCCGATTTTTTTTTTTTTTTTTTTTTTTTTTTTTTTTTTTTTTTTTTTTTTTTTTTTTTACCATTGATGGTAACGTCGGCCGCTTGAACGACCGAATTTTCGTTTTTTAAAAGAAAAATCTGCCGTTTTTTTCTCCCCATCTATGGCCTGCATTAGACTTTGTTTGGGCAAGCTGAGTTTGTTCTGGGAACCAGACAGGAAGTCCCCTTACCGCTGCAAGAGCACAGCGCTGTACACTGTATGTAGTTGATTCTACATACAGTCTATACAGCGCTGGCATCAGTAGTTGCAATTCTTGGTGAAGGGAATAGTTTGGGCTAGTTTTGCTCAAACTTTAAAGCGATCGCAAAGCTGGAGTTCATCTTTAAATGCATCTCATCTGCAAATAGCCGCTTTGCTGCATCTGTTCCCTGCCAGCTCTGCAGTGAGTACTGAGTGATCAAATACTGCTGATTGCTCAGTTCTCTGCCTCTGCTCAGAACAGAGAGCTGTGATTGTCAGTCTCCAGCTCTCTGCTCTGCCCCTCCAGTGCTCACTGGAGCATTGGGCTGTGGAGGGGACAGGACGGGCTGGCTCAGACTCAGTGGTCCAGGCATCTGGGTGGATTCAGATCATATGGTTGGGATCTTTTCAGAGCCTGTACCGGCAGAATGATGTCAGCGACAGCAGACTTTAGTGCACTGTCAGATAAAAATGGGTCACGAGTGCAAAACGAATTGCACTCCTGTGACCTACAAGAGAAGTTATAGCAAAAATAGCTATGGCTATACTTTTCCTCTAAAGAAGACAGCATCGAGTTCTTGCTGTTAGGCAGCATATTTAGTTTACCCAGTGAGAACACAAAGTTTTTCCTTAATGTCATCATGAGTCAGTGGAAGGGGTAATGTGTCTTTGCTTAGCTCTGCTGTTGACAGTTATGACATGCTATAAGAGGAGTATTCTTTCATGTTTTTAAGTTCTTCAGATGTATATGACTGTTAAAGGCATGCGGATGCCATAAACCGTAGGCAGGTAGTTTAAAGCATAAATTTGCTTTTCATAACATGTTACACTCTGAACATGGGTGTAACATGTTATGATCAGACCAGCTCCCGCTCCCCCGTTTTGACAGATAGTGGGGGCTCCTCTTACCCTCGCTAGCTGTCAAATTTTAAAAAATTTGTGGCCGTGCGGGGCTCCGGCTGCGTGACTCATTGATTGTGTTTAGTGAATGAGAAATTACAAGACCTTACAGCCTTGGCTTATGGTTCTCAAAGAACTACCACAGCCCTGTGGAGTGCTGTGGTAGTTCATTGAGTCTTCCGGCCAGTATATCTGTTTGCCCATACATCCCATATGAGCAAGCAGATATACTGACAGATCTGCAGGAGATCTGCATGGCACCAGCAATCTGCTGATTACTGGTGCAAAGCTTCTGCAACAAAAGTCACTTTTTTTTTTCTGCAAAAAGTGTATTTTTTTGTATGAAGGTGAACTTGTCCTTTTTTAAGAAAGCAGTATTCTCCTCCTATCTTGGTTATCATCAAATAGCCATTTATGTATTTTGTATATTATATAAGACTTTGGGTATTTATTATCCCTAAATAACCTAGACTGTCCAAGTTATAATTTTAAAGTAGCTTATCTGCACTGTCATATAAACGTACTGTATATACATATAAGAAACAGTGCTCAAATAATTAAACATATATACATCACAGTTAAGCAAAAATGAAAAGTCCCAACAGAAATTAGAACTTGTGAATCCACCATGAATGGAAAAATCTCATCACATCTTAAATGTGCACCAGCCACCAAATAGTCATGCAGTAGCTTACCAAATAATCAGACAACACATCACGAGAAGCGAGAGTGCTTTTTGATGACAAATCCTGCCTGGATGGTTGGTTACAGCTCACACTCCCTCACAGTTGATAATGCCTTGAACCACTCTCTGTTTCCCAAACAGCATGCCCCAGACACTGCATTGGTTGCTTGAAAAACCTTAGTGGCACAGAGACATACCAGGGAGAAGCAAGGAAATCCCATAGTGAAATAGGGTGAAACATTTTTTTTTTTTTTTTTTAACAAGGTTGATGGGAAATCAAACAATGAAAGTTAATAGCATATCACACACCTCCTGGACAGATGTGATGAAGTCACTGCTGGACTCCGCCCTATGCTTGTTTCGCCTGAGACATCTTTCAGGTGCAAGAGAGTCTACCGTACTATTTGGTGGCTGGTACACCTTTTGATGTGTTAAGATATCTTTCCAGGGGATTTCACAAGTTCTATTTTCTGTTGGACTTTTAACTTTTGTTGAACTGTGATGTATATATGCTTAATTATTTGAGCACTGTTTTTTTATAGGTATATACATTTATATGACAGCTCAACACTATTTTTTGATAACTATATTTCGATATTTGGTGTGTAGATATCAGTGAGTGCTGCAGTCATTATTATTTATGTATTTTATGTACAATGTGTTTAAAAAATAGGTGTAGGACTTCAAAGTAGGATTCATTTACATTGGCACTTTTACCATTAAAAAAAAAAAAAAAAAAAAAGACAAAACTTCAGTAAAACCCCCTCTTGCCTTTCTGATGAAAAATAATTTGTTTTACACAAGTTCATTTTTTGAATATGTTGAATACCTTTTAAAATCTTGGCGCTCTAACCTTCCTTTAACTTTCCTGACTATCTAATCTGCTGTCCTAATGGAGTATTTTGTTTTTTTTAGTGTTGTTAGGGATAAATCTCCAAAGGTTATTCAAGAAGAAATCCGATCAGTCATTAGACAAATCACAGCTACAGTAACGTTCCTTCCACTGCTGGATACAGCTTGTAAGTTTTTCTATATTTGTCTATATCTTTTATTTTTGCATAAGAAAATTATAGGCTTGCGTTAAAAGGATATTAAAGGATAAGTTCACCCTTTAACAAAAAATAATAAATGCACATATTTTTTTTTTAATTTTTAAATTTTTTTAAAGGTAGGTAAAAAAATGAGTTATTTTTTTGTTTTGGGAGCCTGTAAAGCATTGCACGAGCGATCAGATCGCTAGTGCCATGCAGGACTCCTGCAGACCTGTCAGTGTATCTATGTGCTGGTACGGGCAAGCAAATGCACACTGACAGGAAGAATCAATGAACTACCACAATGCTCAACAACGCAGTGGTAGTTTGAGAACTACAAGCCAACAGGCAGAAAGGCTTCCCCCCCCCCCCCCCCCCCTATAACCTTCCAGGGTGGCACACCTGAAATGAGGGGCTCCTCCCTACAGGAAGCACAATCCATTTACAGCTGTTATAAGTTTCCTCCCTTCCCGTCCAATATTGATTGTTTCTCCCTACATAGGAACAGTTGTTGTCTGTGACCAGAAGACCGGGGAGGGTCAGATGGTACCCTTGTGAGGCAGGCTTGTTCCTTCTCATAGATCTCTCCCACTTGGCACCAGTGTTCCGGTCACAGGGGAGTGTGAACCGCCACTGTAAGGTGCAAAAACGCCACCCGGCTTCTGTCTCCTTTTCCCCCCACATGGTCTTCAGTACCCATCGGCTTCCAGAGGAACAGAAAGAGGAGGTGTGCACTCCAAGCCCCATTCTGGCTGCTCAGGATCTTTTTGCCGCATGGCCGGAAGTGGGTGGAGCAAGGAACACGGCGCAGCCTGCAGGAGGGCTGAGAGATGCCGGGGAGTGAGGAGGACAGCAGGGGTCTGAGATTGGTCAACTGACTTTCCTGGATGGCGCACCTGGCTTTTGCAGCAGAAACCGGGCCAAACCACCTCATGGAGAAGGAGGAAGGGATGACAGTATCTGTTACTTATTGTGGGGAGAAGCTAGTGAAGTCTCATTCTACACTATTTTGCTATAGATACATTGACAAGCTGGTAGGGAAAGAGGCTTCAGGCTTGATGAAAGATTTCCTAGCATCTATGCAAGCGGAGATGGTAGCTACCAATCAAGTCTTTTCGAACCTTGGTGGCACAGGTCCCAGGCCCAGAGGCGCTAACCCCTAAGGAAGGCTTGTCCTCACAGGAAAGCCTTAATTCCAGAGGGGGCCCCAGTTTATTCCTTCCTTTTTCCCAGATGCTTGCTCCAGCCCAAGCCAGGGATGAGGAGGAGAGTAAGGGAGATTTGGATAGTCAGCCTAAATCAGGCCACAGCTCTGGGGAGGAGGTGGACCTAGATCTGGGTAGTGAGGCAGGTGAGGAGGTTAAGCCTGGCAGGCACCTCTTTCTGTTGACGGGGCTTCCTGCAGACAGTTTACGTCACTGAAATAATCCCGGAAACCCCTAGAGAGAACTCAGCGCAGGACAAAATGTATAGGGGCCTATTTAAGGCCCATGCTAGGGTGCTCCCCTTTCACCAATCCTCAAAGGATTTAATCTTACAGGAATGGAAGGATCCTGAAAGGAGAATGGTCAAACCTAAGATGTGGGAAAAGAAGGTTCCCCTTTAAAGAGGAGGAAGATAGATTCTTTAAGCTTCCCAGGTTGGATGCTGCGAGGTCTTCTCTCCTTCTAGGATTCAGGAAGCATTAAGGATTTGATGGACGAAGGTCTGATTACCTCCTAAGGAAGGCATGGGATGCTAACACATCTACCATGGCCCAGCTCTGACAGCAACCTCATTGCCAGACTTTTTTGGATGGAAAGACTGACCAAACACCTGTCGCAGGGGGCTAAGTCAGATGCAGTGCTACATTCCCTCAGTGATAGGGAAAGCAGTAGCCTACCTAGCGGATGCTGCGGTCGTTGCCATTAAAGCCTCAGCCAAAACAGCCACACTCAATTCAGCCAGAAGGTTTATCTGGGTTAAAGCATGGGAAGGTGACTTTGCATCGCAAGGTAAACTATGTGGTCTCCCCTTTTGAAGGCTCCCTGCTGTTTGGCCCAGGGTTGGACAATATGTCGTCCAGGCCCTCTGAGAAGGGGAAGAATTTCCCAGTTAAATCCAAGAGGGAATAATATGTTTTTTTTTTTTTTTTTTTTTTTTTTTTTTTGGTTCCTCAGGACCTCAGAGGGCCAAAAAGGAACTGAATCAGAAATGGGCAATGGGAGCAGAAGGCAAAGCAGCAATTTGCTGTTTTTCTCCCCAGGCACCAGCACTAAAGAAACCAAGTGATGCCAGGATCAGGGTAGGGGGCTGCCTATCACATTTTGCCTCCCAGCGGGAGAAAATCTCAGACCGTGCCTACATCTGCCATTTAGTGCTAGAGAGCTGTCACCTGGGGTTCTCGTCAAGGCCCCCCACAAATGATCACCCTAACCTGCCTATCTCGGAACACCTTGAAGAGGGAAGCTCTCATGGAAGGAGCTTAGGAGCTGGCGGTGCTGGTGGCAGTACCTGTACCCAAAAGCCAACAATACCAGAGATTTTACTCCCATGTATTTGTTGTTCACAAACCTTCAGGAAAATGCTGCCTAATCATAAAGCTCAGAAACCTGAACAAATTCTTGGAGTACAAAAGATTTTCCATGGAGAGTATTTACTCAGTACGCAACAATCTCCTAAACAAGGCCTTTGACAATGCTGGACCTCAAGGATGCCTATTTACATGTCCCAATTCATCTGGAACATCAGGAATACTAGGGGGAAGAAACAGCCCACTGGCAGTTCAGGGCTCTTCCTTTTTAGGCTAGTGGCCAGTCCATGGATTTTTCCAAAAATCCTAGCTGAACCAGTGGCACTCCTGCACCTTTTTGGGGAATATCCCTGATCCCCTATTTAGACCATCTTCTAATTTTTGGTCCCTTTGCTATGCAGGTGAAGGCAGATATGGGTAGGGTGATCACCACCCTGGAGTCTCTGGGCTGGATAGTAAGCATAGAGAAATCCTCTCGAGCCGGAGCAGGTCAAAACCATTGTTAGGCTACGTGGTGGACACAAGCTCAAATAACTTTCTAGCAAGGGACAAGGTACAGAAGATAGTCCAGTCAGTGAGGGGTCTGATAGAGATGTCTTTAAGCTCCTCAAGGGAGGTCTTGAGGGTGCTGGGACTGATGTTGGCAGCCATCATGGCCAGTGTGGGCACAATTCCACTCAAGAGACTTGCAGTTCTTCCTTCTGTCCTGCTGGGACATGAAGAAAGAATCAATGGAGAAAAAGCTGGTACTCCACAGGTAAAATACTCACTAGAATGGTGGGTAACCCCCAGTGGGACCTCCTAAAAGTGGAATCCAAAGCCCAAGGTCCTTGGAAAGGGATATTTCGCAGCCTTTGTCTAACTCCAGGGATCTCAGAGCAGCATGCAAAGCCCTGAAAGCTTTCAAGAACCGTATCTTGGGCAGGGAGGTTCAAGTCAGCTCTGACAATGCCACCACGGTGGTCTACCTGAACCGTTGGGGTGGAACCAGATCCAGACCTCTTCTGGACCTATCCAAGGAGATCCTGGTTTGGGCTGAAGGGAAATTCCTTTCCCTGGTGGCAGTTCATATAAGAGGGATAAGCAACCAGGAAGTGGACTTCCTCAGTCGCCAGCCGATCAGACGGGGATTGGGAGCTGAACCCGAAGGTCTTTAGGGCCTTGGTTCAACAGTTCGGCAACCCAGAAATAGATCTTTTTGCCGATGGCAGGAACAGGAAGGTAAGGAGGTTCTTCGCAATATACCTTGACACAGATTTGGTGGTTCAGGCTGGCATATACCTCTCCACAATCCACCAATCCCCCCGGGGTTAATCCTGTGGGTTCTCCAGAAGCTCGGCCACCTCTTCCTGATTGCACCTTGGTGGCCGAGGTGGGTGTGGTTTTGTGGTTCACGACCCTAACAATCCTTTCGGTGGCATCACTTTGGAGGCTCCCGATCCTGCCAGATCTTCTCCAGGGCCTTGTGCTTCACCCCAGGCTGGAATTCTTCCAATTGGCAGCCTGGCTAGGGAGTGCCAGATACTAAATAATGAGGGTTGTTCAGACAGTTACACCCTCCGCATAAGCTGAAAGCCTGCAAATAGGAAAATTTACTCACAAGTCTGGAAAATCTTTTGTTTTTGGTGGAAACGGGTATCCTCTACCTCTATTCCAATAATCCTGGTGTTTCTCCAAGATGGTGTTTGAAAGAGAGGTGGCAGTTGGCAGTAAAAATTGCTGCACTTTGTTTTTCTTGACGCTAGATTAGCTAGAGAACCTTTACTTAAGTGGTTTTTGGTAGCCAGGGAGAGAATTACTCCAGCCACAAAAGAGAAGTTTCCACCATGGGATCTGACCAGCGTGCTAGAAGCCTTATCAAAGCACCCCTTTGAACCAATAGAGAAAATTCCCTTTACATTTTTGACGTTAGAATTATCTTTTTTGTTGGCGATCACCATGGCTAGAAGAGACAAAATTTGTCGGTCAAAGAACCCTTTTTGTTGATACTGCCGGATAGGGTCACCCTTAGGGCAGACCCAATGTACCTGCCCAAGGTAACTTCCTTATCTAATAGAACACAGGAAATAACTTTGCCTTCCTTCTGTGATAATCCCAGGAATGCAAAAGAAGAGAAATTCCACTGTCTTGATGTGCAGAGAGGTCTCCTCACTTATTTGCATAGGGCCAAAGATTTTAGGCGGTTCGACCGCCTTGAGTAGCTGGGATAGAGGAAAAGGGAGCATGTCCTGTGCTTGCTCAGCTTTTGAATTAAGAAGCATGTTAACCCCTGTAGTCCTCTATCCCAGCTACTCAAGGCAAAGTTGTTGCTGGGATAGGGGAAGAGAGCACACACTATGCAAGCACGGCTTTTGAACTAGGAAACATGCACACTCCTACTGTCACAAAAAAAAAACAACAGTTCGACTTACCGGTAACTGCTTGTCTATCAACCTTCCAGGACAGCACACCTGAGAGTTGAAGGGATCCTCCCTACAGGAAACAATCAATTTACCGCTGCTATAAGTCCCCTCCCTTCGCCTCCAGTTTGTAATAAAGTAACTACCGAAACCGGTCCCACAAGGGGAATAATTCTACATAGGCACTCACCAATTACTAATTTTAGGGGTTTCCTCCCCTCCCTTAGTAGGGTGAGAAGTAGGTCTGCCATTCTGGAAGGTTCGTAGAAATGCCGTTACTGGTAAGTCTTTCTGCCATCACCTTCCAGGATGGCACACCTAAGAGGATAATCAAGTAACCGCAGGCCTACCTTTGGGTGGGACCACAACCTGTAGCACCTTCCGACCGAAGGCTAAGTCTTGCTGCGAAAGGACTTCAATTCGGTAATGCTTTAAGAAGGTGTCTTGACTGGAACGGGCAGCTGCACTGCATAGGTTCTCAGGAGGCCCCCCACTTTTTCCACCCACGATGTGGCCATACCCCTGGTTGAGAGAACTTTAACCTTTGTTGGTGCAGGGATCCCTGAATTTTCATAAGCTAAGGCAATAGCTCATCTGATGCACCTGGAGACCGAAGCCTTATAAGCTTGAAATCCCTTCCTTGGTCCAGCATAAGAATGCTCACCCTCTGCCATGCTATGGAAATAAGCGATGACATAGGAATATAAACATTGGCAAGTACTTCAGCTAGGCTTCATGGATGCCGGAAAAAGCCTACAGGTATGTCATTTGTAGTAAAGAATAAGTTTATTTTCAGACACAGTTCACTTTTTCTTTTTGCCCCATCTCTGCAGCGCCTAATTCCATATTTTTTTTTTTTATTTTTTTTTTTTTTTTTAACAAGGGCCTTCCACCCACACAAGTGCATTTAAAGGAGCCTACTTAGGCAAATTACTATGTAAGCAAAGCAAGTATCCAGCACAACATAATCCTCTGAATCTTTCCTTATTTTAACAGCCTTAATGCAATCTAACTCATTTCTGCCTCAAAGAAGCCTTATTCGTAGCTATCTCTGCCTCAGCCTGTCAGAGAAGGCTTTGTATTCATTCAGAAGAAACAAAGCCTTCTGTAAATGGCTGGACGTTCCCATCATGCTGCTGGAATACAGCGCTGTATACTGTATGTAACAGTTTACAGAGCAGTCACAGTTGCTACATTTGTTAGTGAAGCAAATAGTTTGGACCAACTTGGTACAAACAAACTATTTAAAGTGACAAATAACATTGAGTTAGCCTTTTAAATACATATTGGTTATTGTCAATGTTTCGCACATCTGCATTTTAGGAGGGGGAGAAAGTCCTTTTTTTTTTTTTTTTTTTTTTCCCTAGCACAGAACTGTAGATCACGGTTGTATGAAAAAGTCCTTATGATGTTCATGTCACTACTTTCCTAATGTGAATACACTTCTCCCATTTCCTCATTTTAGGTGCCTTTGACTTGCTGATCTACACAGACAAGGATTTGGAAGTGCCTGAAAAGTGGGAGGAATCTGGGCCTCAGTTTGTTTCTAACTCTGAAGAAGTCCGTCTTCGTTCTTTTACTACTACAATCCACAAAGTCAACAGTATGGTGGCCTACAAGAAGATAGACTCCTAGAGATTTTTTTTATTGACCTATAGAAAGCTGCTTCATCTTTTTCTCTGCTGCATATGTCACTAGTGACTGGTGTTTTGATGTAGCTTTTAAATGTCTGGTATCCCTTGTCTGGGATTTTGATATACTGAACAAAAATTGGAACTGAATGTGGACATTTTATGCTTGCATAAAACTTTGGTAGTGAAGAGATTTTAAATGTTAAATTCTATTTTTTGACATTGCAAATCAGTGTGATTTTGTGCTCCAAAAGAAGATATTTTTTTTTTTTTTTTTTCTTTCTGCTGCTTAAATGTTACATTTCCTATCAGACATAAAAACGTTTGGTCCCATCACTGCTCCCAGTTAACTCTTCTGTTTTTATTTATGTGGATACTGTGTTCGTAAACCTTGACATCACATTTTGTTCTTGGAAATGTAAATTTATCCATTTCAAAACCTTTTTTATATAATAAAGTGTTAATATGTCTTAATGTATGTGGCAATATTGTCTTGTTCAATTTTTGTGGAGAGTACGATTATCAGGTATGGTGTAATATTTGATATTTTCTTGGCATAATAGTGCAGCACTATGCTGATGAGTGCAACTGTAGCTAAAATAATGTTAATCATACATCACAGGATGAAGGGTACTTCAGATTCATGACTACTTGGGTTATGCTTTAGGTGGACCCTGGCCAAAAAAAGGTAGGAATTCTTCCAGGCATAACACCTCCCAGTTCAGTTAAGGCTCAGTTTTGTAGCAAGCAATGGGCAACAAAGAGAAGAGGCATCCCTATGTCTTGCAATGTACCCAAAGAAAGGATTTTTATAGGCAACTCAAGTTCTAATTCCAAAGGATGCAAGGAACTTTGTATTCCTGACCACATGGGATGTCACAAAGCACTGAACATGAGGGGTGGGAAACAAGAAGGAAACCAGAATAGGGAAGAACACCATTATAAAGCCACCTGCAGGACCTACTGCCCAAAAATCTGCAAAGGTGTAAACATCTATCTGGTAGAATTTTAAAATTTTTTTGTAAATTTTTATTAAGGGCCAAAGCCCATTTTTCAAGACAATTACAACACTTTAGGTGTATACGTTGCATTGAAAAAGAATCATATTCAATATAAAGAAGAACGAAAACAAGAAATGTGGACATAAAATAGACAGCATGGTAAACAGTACAGTGCATAAGTACAAAACAACATAAACCTGCACATTGTTCAATTGCATTATTTGTCAAGAGCTTAGCAAGTAGAGAGGTATCGGTGCTATATGAGGGGGATAGGGGGGAGGAATGAAGTCTACTGAGGGGAGAATGATCCCATGGTTCCCAAATAGATCTGAAATGAACTGAGTAATCACCCACTAGAGCTGTAAGATATTCCATTTCTCTGATTTCAGAGATCGCTCTTAAAAGATGATTTAGTGTGGGGATATCGACTTATTTTCAGTGTCGTGGTATCACCCGTCTAGCAGCCATCAGAATGTGTATTACCAACCTTTTTGACCATTTAGAAATACCCTTTTAAAGAGTAGCCCCAAAAGGTAGTGTAATGGGTCTAAGAGAAGGTTAACATTGAGCATCTGCTCTAAGACAGCCTTAACCATAGCCCAATAACCTGTAATCTGTGGACAGAACCAGAAAATGTGCACCAAGGTGCCTGTCCCTTCCATGCAGCTCCAGCATCTGTCAACAGATTTGGGTTGATTGCGTGTAGTACTACAGGGGTCTTGTACCAATGCATCAATATCTTATATAAATTTTCTTTGTACACAACACAACGAGAGGACTTAGTAACAGAGTCCCAGATCATCTGCCAACATTGCAAAGAAATTGGGCATTTAAGTTCTTACCATCTCTTCATATAGCGGTGAGTGTTTTCAACAAGAGACCCGGTATTGAGTTGTCTATATAAAGAGGTGATGAGATGTTGTTGGGAGGGACATTTGACAGCTATCCTCTCAATCTGTGGGGCGGCTAAGTGTTAGAGAAGGGCTCAAGGCATGGCAAAAGTGACGAAATTGTAGATAGGTATATCTGGCTATATATACAAAATGCTGCGCTATTAGTAAATAATAAATGATAATAATAAAACAGTCCAATAAAGGTGCTCCTTGATTCCCAGTGCAAATGATAGGAATGTGCACTAACCAGAAAGCGTATAAGTAATACGCATGTGAATATATCCTGAGGATTCCCCTCTCCTTTCTGGTCTGGTCATGGAAATAGCTGGGAAAGATGATCAAGCGCCCTCATGTGGTGAAGGAGTGGTCCAGCAGGTCAAAGCAGATTCAATCAAGAAAAATTCCCCCCCTCAGGAGCTGACACAGGCCAATCTGTTCATGTCCTTCAGCAGTTCAGCAGTGTCATTGCTCATCCTTTCTTGCTGCAGCCCTGTTCCTGATCCCTTCTCGTGTTCATCTGTGCTCATCTAGAGCACATCTAGATAGATGAGCACAGATGAACACATGAGAAGGGATCAGGAACAGGGCTGCAGCAAGAAAGGATGAGCAATGACACTGCTGAAGGACGACGAACAGATTGGCCTGTGTCAGCTCCTGAGAGGGGGAATTTTTCTTGATTGATTCTGCTTTGACCTGCTGGACCACTCCACCACATGAGGGCGCTTGATCTTCATCTTTCCCAGCTATTTCCATGACCAGACCAGAAAGGAGAGGGGAATCCTCAGGCTATATATTCACATGCGTATTACTTATACGCTTTCTGGTTAGTGCGCATTCCTATCATTTGCACTGGGAATCAAGGAGCACCTTTATTGGACTGTTTTATTATTATCCATTATTTACTAATAGCGCTGCATTTTGTATATATATGAACTTTGGGACTTTTTATGCGTTTTCCGTGAATGTTCAGCTGCTAAATTACTGAGAGCACTTACTATATTTACACAATTTGTCTTATCAGGTATATCTGGCTGTTGCATGTATTGTGGGTTTCCACGCCTTAATCTCCTCAAATGACCGAATCCTTCATGAAGCTGGATTGATCATATGACGACATTGATATATCCCATTGGTTGCCAAAGAACTCCTCTGTGGGTAAGACAAACTATCTGGGAGCTCCGGATTATACAAAACCTTCAACAATGGCGAGCATTCAGACAATAACTGCTGGGATTTCACACAGGTCGACCATATTTTAAGGGTAAATTTTATAGAGACCAGCATAAGGGGAGGAGGGGACAGGGGTAACAATGAACAGGTCTGGATTGGATAAATATATCCTAATTCTATCTCTGCCCATCTATTGTGATGTTTTTGGGTGAAACCATGAAAGTGTTTGTCGCAAATGAGCGGCTAGATAGTATTTAAGAATATCTGGAACCCCTAGACCGCCATTGTTTTTAGATGTCAGGAGAACCGTTTTTGCTATTTGAGGCTTTCTGGCATGCCAAATAAATCTAAAACGCTTGCTGTAGAGTGTTTAATTGAGCTTGTGGTATTGCCACTGGGAGGGTAAAAGGTAAAGTAACTTTGGTAAAATTGACATCTTTATCACATTCACCCTGCCTAGTAAGGATATCTTATAAGCATCCCACTGGTTTAGGAAAGCATAGATTTCCTGAAACAGTGGGGGATAGTTGGCCTCAAACAAATGAGTATAAGTTGGGGTTATATGGGTGCCAAGATATTTAATAGATGAAATGCACCAATGGTAAGAGTAGTTTTGTTGGAGCAGTGAGAGATCTTGGGATGGGATATTGAGGGGTAGAGCTTCTGTTTTTGAAGTGTTTATCTTATAGCCAGACAAGTCACTAAAAGCTTGTAAAAATTTATGCAAAGTAGGCAAAGACAAATGTGGTTTTGTAATGGTCAATAGAACGTCATCTGCAAAAAGTGAGTTTATACTCCTTCCCCCTCACAGTCACTCCTGCTGTGTCAGTGTGTGCTCTGATCGCCACTGCCAGTGGTTCAAGGCATAACACAAAAAGGAGCGGAGACAGAGGACACCCCTGTCTAGTTCCGTTGAGCATGGGAAAGGTGTCAGGTGTGGCAAAGGGAAGCTTAACCTGTGCGCTAGGTCATTAATACAGTGCTGTAATTGCTCTCAAAAAAGGCCCTTGTATCCCTACATGTCGCAGTAGTTCGAACATAGAGGGCCATCCCAACCGGTGCTTTGTGCGACGGGAGTGCCATAACAGCAGATAGTTCCTCCATAGTAATGGCTGCGTTCAAGGGTAGTCTATCTTCTCTTTTTAATTTAGGGATGTGGAGAACTGAAAAAAAGCATCCCTATGGAAGGTAGGGGTGACGTCTGGTGATAGACAATTATACAGCTTACGATAGAAGTCTCCGAACATTTGGGCTATCTGTTGGGGGCAGAATGTGGGAGTGCCATCTGTTTGAAACAAAAATTCAGGAGCGGAAGTAGCTGAATGTGTTTTCAGTTTATTAACCAACATCCTACGAGGCTTATTAGCGTATTGATAGAATTTCTGTCTCATCCATAACATTTTCTTCACTATAGAACTAGCTTCAAGTGTTGATCTTTAAGTTGTACCACTAAATGAAGTTTAGGTAAGGAGGGCGAATCAATAAGTTTTTTTCTGCTTGCGATAATTGATTCATAAGGTCAGTTTTCTGATGGAGCTGGGATTTCTTAAGGGTGAGCTTTCCATTATAAGATGACCCCTAATAAACGTTTTATAAGCTTCCCACAATGTTGAAGATGCCGACAAAGATCCAGTATTGAGCTAAAAAAATTCACGCAATGCTTTCAAAATAGTATTGACACTTGCTTGACGTAAGAATGTCATTCAAGCTCCAATGCTATGTGCGCAAATTTGATCTATCTGCAAATAGATCTAAAGCCAAAAAAGAATGATCTGACCATGAGTTGGGGACAATATTGGAACCCACTGTCTAAGTAGGGGGGGGCTGAAAGCAGAAAGTAATCTAATCTGGAGTAGATATGATGTATCGGGAAGAAAAAGGAAAACTGTTAGCATTTGGGTGTTGTACTCTCCAGATATCAAACCGCTTATGTCCCCTGA